GTGAGTCTCTCTCTCTTCTACTATCAAAGCTGTCTGTTTGTGTGTCCGTCCATCTGTCTGACTGTCTTTCTCTCTGCCTATCTGTCTGTCTTTCCACCTGTCTGTCTGTCTGTCTGTACTGCTGTCTGTCCCTTTGTTTGTCTGTGTCTTTGTTAGTCCATCTGTCTGTCTTTTTTTTGTCTGTCTGTTTTTCTGTCTGTCTCTTTATCTGTCTGACTGTTTATCCATATGTCAGTTTGTCTGTCTGTCTGTCTGTCTGTGTTTATTTTGTCCGTCTGTTTGTCCCTCTGTCTGTCTTTTTGTCTGTCTATCTGTCTTTGTTCATCTGTCTCTATGTTTGTTCATTCATCCATATCTCTGTCTGTCTGTCTTTCTGTTTGTCTGTCTGTCCATCTATCTTCTCTCTGTCCATCTATCTGTTTTGTCTGTCCATTTGTCTGTCCATCTATCCATATGTCTGTCTGTCTGTCTGTCTGTCTGTCTGTCTGTCTGTCTGTCTGTCTGTCTGTCTGTCTGTGTGTCTGTTTGTTCATCTGCCTTACTGTCTGTCTGTGTGTCTGTCTATCTATCTATCCCTCTGTCTGCTCTTTTAGTGTATGTCCGTCCATCCCTCGGTCCATGTGTTTGTGTGTTCACCTGTCTTTTTGTCCATCTGTCTCTCTGTCTGTCTGTTTGTCTTTTTGTCCATCTGTCTGTCTGTTCTCTATGTCTATTCATTCATTACTCTGTGTCTGTCCATCTGTCCATGTGACTTTCTGTTTATTCCCTCTGTCCATCCGCTTTTAACTGTCCATATTTTTGTCCATCTGTCTGTCTGCCTGCCTCTCAATCTGATTGCCCATCTCTCTGTCTTTCCATTTCTCTGTCTTTCTGTCCATCTGTCCATTCATCTGTCTGTCCATTTGTCCGTACATCTGTCTTGCTGTCTGTCTGTATGCCTGCCTCTCAGTCTGTTTGTCCATCTGTTTGTATGTACATCCATTCATCTCTCTGTATCTGTCTGTGTCTATCCGTCCATCTGTCTTTCTCTCTGTTCTCTCTGTCCATCTATCTGTCTGTCCATCTGTCTATACATCTGTCTGTCTGTCTGTCTGTCCATTTGTCTATCTTTCTGTCTGTTCTCTCTGTTCATCCATCTGTCTGTCTATCCATTTGTCTGTTTGTCCGTCCGTCTGTTCGTCTGTCTGTCTGTCTTTTTGTCCATCTGTCCATATGTCTGTTTGTCTGTACCTCTCTCTGTTCTCTCTGTCTATCCATTCATCTGTCTGCATCTCTTTATCTGTCCATTCGTCCATCTGTGTTTCTGTTCTCTGTCCATCCACTTGTCTGTTCAACTGTTTTTCCGTCTGTTTTTCCATCTGTACATCTGTTTGTTCTCTCTGTCCAACCGTCTGTCCATCTGTTTTTTTTGTCTGTTTGTCCATCTGTTTTTCTGAATGTCCTTCTGTTTGTCTGTCTGTCTGCCTAACAGTCTGTCTGTCTGTCCTTCTGTCTTTCTATTTGTCTGTTCTCTCTGTCCATCCATTCATCTCTCTGTGTCTGTCTATCTGTCCTTTCGTCCATCCGTCTTTCTGTCCATCCATCTGTCTTTCTGGCTGTTCGTCTGTTTGTCCGTCTGTCTGTCCGTTCGTCCGTCCGTCTGTCTGTCCTTTTGTCCGTTTGTCTGTCCATCTTTTTGTCCATCTGTCCATATGTCCATCTGTCTGTCTGTCTTTTTTATCCATCTGTCTATATGTCCATCGGTCTGTCTGTCTTTTAGTCCATCTCTCTGTGTCTGTCTGTCTGTCTGTTTGTCAATCTGTCCATCCATTCATCTCTCTGTGTCTTTATCTTCCATTCGGCCATCTGTCTTTGTCTATTCTCTCTGTCCATCCATCTGTCTGTCTATCTTTCTAATTGTTCGTCTGTTTGTCCATCCATTTGTCTTTCTTTCTTTCTGTCTGTCTGTCTGTCTTTTTTGTCCATCCGTTTGTCTGTTCTCTCTGTCCATCAATTCATCTCTCTGTGTCTGTATGTCCGTCCCTTCGTCTATCTATCTTTCTATCTGTTCTCTGTCCATACATCTAACTGTCCATCTGTCTTTCTGACTGTTCATCTGTTTGTCTGTCTGTCAGTCTGTCCGTCCGTCTGTCTGTCTGTCTGTCCATCAGTTTGCCTGTCTTTCCGTCCGTTCTTTCATCCGTCGTTTTGTCCATCTGTTTGTCTATATATCTCTCTGTTCTCTGTGTCCATCAATTCATCTCTCTGTGTCTGTCAATCCGTCCGTTTTTTTTTCTGTTCTCTCTGTCCATCCAACTGTCTGTCCATCTGTACATCTTTCTATCTGTTTGTCCATCTGTTTGAACGTCTGTCTTTCCGGCTTTCTGTCTGGTTGTCTGTCTGTCTTTTTGTCCATTTGTCTGTCTGCCCGGCAGAATTTCTGGTTTTGTAGGGAGCTATTTTTTATCGACAATTTTATCGAGTCAAAATGTGTGTGTGTTTGTGTTTGTGTGTGCGCGTGTGTGTGTGTGTGGGTGTGCGTGTGCGTGTGTGTGCGCGCAGGAGGAAAATGTGTTGAAAATGAAATTCAAAATACTCTTATATGGACATTCAGGAGAGGATGTCTCTGTGTCCTCCTAGTTGTGTTTTGTGAGAATGTATCTAAACCATATGAATTATCAAACTTTGAAGTCTATATCAAAGTCTTGATAAAAAAAAGGAATGTTCGGTCCATGGGAAGATGATCTACTCAGATACTTTTGTGAGAAATAATGTATTACTCAGCTCACTTTGTAAAATGGTGTCCATGTTATTGTGCCTAAGTTTTCCGATTTCATGTTTGCAAGCCAGGCTAATCCAAGTGTATCTGTCTGTAAACTGCAAGAGAGAGGTGTAACTTGCAGTAGAGGCATAACTTGCAGTTATTGAGATCCCACCGAACCATGCAAGATTTCACAATGAGATATTGTTGGCAAGATGACAGAAATACTTTCCAGAGAACATTTTCAGCAAATGTTTTCGTGCTTTTTCTCCAATTTAATCCACAGCCAATTCATTTGATATTAGCTACTCCGCTCACTGACTACTTCATCTGCTTTGTCATGACAGTTAGACTACTCTGCGTCACCCCCTGTGGTTGGAGCTAACTGTGGAATGGTGAGCACAAATATGAAAGCCTGTGCAACTCACGGCTGTACGTGCAGAGTGGAATAGGTAGATGTTAATAACTGTGTACGGTGGCATCTTACCGAAAACATAGTTGACACATGTGGGTCTTCATTACTTCAAGTTAAGCCATGACTTGCAGTCCGCAGACAAACCCTACTTGGCTAGTTGTAAAAATGCACTTCTGCCTGCATTATTGCTAAATTCACTGAAATAAACACTAATGGCAGTCAAACACCAACAACTTTTATTGCTTTTCACATAAATCATAATTACAGGGTAGGGTTAGTCACTCAAAAAGACCTATATTTTTTGTGTATTTTCATGTACTGAATGTTTGACCTTAAAACGCTTTTACTGTAGTGTTTGTGATCTAATACATTTAGAAAGATTAAAAACAAACATTATTAGCTCCATATAAAGTTTATTGGTGTGTCGCATACTTGTTCATTATTCTACGCCATTTTGTAGTATAGATAGTGCAAGTAGTGCATTCACACTGAAAACTCTACAAATAACAAGTGGTCTTTAAATACCAGGATGATGCACTTATTCAACTGTTAAAATTAAGTTATGTTGGACACCACGCACTCAACTTTGCGCATGTAGCGAAAGGGGCAGAGCTGATGTTGGATTAATGCATCTATTTTGGATTGTGAAAGCAAAATTCTCCTACGAGAGTGATTATAGCGCCTCCCAATAGAGAATGTGGTTATACTCATCATGGCAGGTATTATTTGGTAGTTTGGTCATTTATTTCACTGATTTGATTCAAATGACATCAGGGAAAGTTTTGAATTTCTGCTTAGTAAAAAACCCATTAGTGCTCCATTTGGGACGACACTACATGCGTATACTATGCTGTTGAGTGTGTAAGTGGATAAGTACATAGTGCGTAAGTGTATAGGGTGCCATTTTTTCATTGCCCTTCAAAGTGCACAAACTTTGCAAATTGAAAAGGTTTATTGGAAATAGATATTGACATTGAAAATTGGCATGTCTTTTTTTGCAAAAACACCATATATCTCTTATATCCTAAAAACATGCTCAAATTACAAATATAAATCTATGCATCCGCAGGCCAATAGATCACCTGATCTGCTCTTGTGTCATTAATTACATGGCGCAGGAGATTGATTGCTGTCGCCTCAGCAGCCGTTGAGCTTGCTACTCTGCATTTTAAATGCCTCGTTAGCTACGTTTCCACATTTTTAGAATATGTATTTTGTATTTGCGCATAAAAATTGGTTGATAAAAACACCAAGATGCACATAACTTTTGAAAAAGTGCATAAAAAAAATAATTTTGTGCATAACTGTAGGGTAAACTTTTTTTTTTTAAAGAAAAGATGTGCATAAACTAAGATGAAAACACTTTTATCAAACAATTTCCAGTATGCGTATTAAAAAAAAAAAAAAAAAGTGATGTGATTTTGTTATTTTGTGTGATTTTGAGATCATGTGATGATGAAAATGTGTGTGAATGGACAAACCAGCAGGCTGAGCTCATTGTATAACATCTGAAATGTTGTTTTGGTCATTTTAACCATAACCATAACCGTTTCAGTATTAGTGTTGTTAGATTAATAATCAACGGTCAAGAGCGTCTGTGCTCTGTTTCTCATATCTTTTAACGCCACCACATGTTCATTGCATGTCGGCATACTTTTTTCAAAGGTGCAAGTCTTTTAATAAATAAAGAAAAGATTCACACAGCTTCGATCGCAGCAAATTCCTTTTTTACTGTTGATATTTGGTGCCAGTTAATCAGGAAGTGACAATGTTGTTCGTTTTGACTTTATGCTGCTTTATTATCACACCTTTTTTGTGATAATCCAGTTATAAAGTTAATTAGCG